AAGTTAAGCTAATGCAATTAAGAGATTGGGCATGACACATATTCTGACAGCCCGCTTACTCTCACAACTATAATACATAACAAGGCAAAGGCCAATGTGGATATTTGCCAATGTACTATGAGATAACAATACTATCCTTTTCAGCCTTCTATATTTGTATTGATCCCTAAATAAAACCAAATAGTATAATAATACAATAAAAACTTTAATGTCTTTGTTTCCTAACAAGCAATCAAGGTTTGAAATAAACATGTCTAATAACATGGTGAATGCCATTGTACATTGTTTCACAATGAGTGAGTGAAGCCACATATTGGTTGAATCCCACATGCACAAATTAACCCTTGATGAGGTCAGGCATATTCCAAAAACACAAATTGGTACCTTGTATCGGAAAACACTTATTTACAGCTGGTTGTAATATTGTAATCTGTATATTTATATTTGTATCTCTAGAATTAAGTATTTGTACCCCTAGAATCCCTAGAATTAAGTATTTGTATCCCTTGAATTAAGGACAAAAAATTAGGATAGACAATCCCTCAATTATAGGATTAGTTTTAGAAAGATTTACTTTCCTAGTTTACCCACTAGTCAGTTGTATATAAACCTAAAGTGCTTGTACAATTCTTAAGAGCAGCTTTTCAATATACATTCAGTTTTACTCTTAGTTTTTCATAGTTTTATTTTTTGGTTTTTCCACATGGTATCAAAGCTTTAGGCTCTTCTTGGGAAACAAAATTTTCAGCCTTCATTGCTTAACTTCTATTTTAGGTCTTCATAGACAAACCCTATTAAGAACTTCATAGCCATTTTATTTTTCCCTTCTTTAACCTTCATTGCTAAGAGTTATTTCTAGTTATATCTTAAGAATTGTTTCAATGCAAAGAAAGATAACAAAATCTGCTATCACTACCACCCAATTTGAGGAATTGTCAACTAGTAAAGCCATTGAAGTACTACAAATGTCTCAGGAACAAGGAGAATAGAACAAAGAAAAGATTGAGAAGCTAAAAAGCCTATTGAAAACCCTTGAAAAGCCTATGGGTGTATGTTCCTTAGGTAAGGTCTGAAGTACAGGTAAAGTATTTGATTCTCATAGATTAAATGTTTCGGTTAAGCCTATTATGAATTATTAGATCATTGACTCAGAAGCCAAATACCAAATGACACATTCCTCGAAGAAGTTTAGTACATGTACCCTGTGTCTTGGCAATAAAAAAATTGTTATTGTAGATGATTCACTTACTACAGTAGTAGGATTAGGAGATATTCAAATTAATCTTTCATTTGTTCTTAAAAATGTTCATGTTTTTCGATCGTCTACTAATCTGATATCTATACAAAAACTTACTAGAGACGTGAACTGCAAAGTGACTTTTTATCCCTTCTATTGTGAATTTCAAGACCAAAGTTCAATAAAAAAGATTGGACTTGGTAAGGAAATTGATGGACTATACTATCTTGAGACATCAAATTATACAAGTAATAACAAGAATAATTTACCTTTGTCATTTCTTTTTGAAAAATCTCTCAATAAAGGCAAAATTTGGCTTTATCATTTTCGTCTTGGACATCCTTCTTTTGAAACTTTGAGAAACATGTTTCCTTATTTGTTCAAAGGATTAAATATTGAAAATTTTAATTGTGATGTTTGTGAACTTGCAATGCATAGACATTTGTCTTTTTCAATTAGTAGCAAAAGAAGTTCCACTCCTTTTTACTTGATTCATAATGACTTATGAGGTCCCCCTACAATTCCTAGTATTTCTGGTGCAAGGTGGTTTGTTTCTTTCATGGATGATTGTACTAGGATTTCTTGGATATTTTTACTTAAATCCAAATCAAATGTGAATAATGTGTTTTTAATCTTCCAAAACATGGTCCAAAATCAATATGGAGTAAAAATCAAGAGATTTAGGTCTGACAATGCAAGAGACTATTTCAATCAGAGTCTATCTACCTATTTCCAAAAAAAAGGGATTATCCATGATTCATCTTATGTTAATACTCCACAATAGAATGGAGTGGTAGAGAGGAAAAACAGCCATTTACTAGCCACAACCCGAGTTGTACTTTTTCAAGCAAACGTACCCAAATTCTACATGGGGAAGCTATTCTCATTGCCACACACATTATAAATAGGTTACCTTCAAGGGTTTTGGGATTCAAAACTCCTATGAAACTACTTTCACAATTCTATCCCAACTTTAATACCACAAACAACCTCACACCTAAGATATTTGATTGTACATCATTTGTTCATGTTCATAGTCATAATAGGGGCAAATTGGATTCTAGAGCAGTTAAGTGCATTTTTGTGAGGGTATTCATCAACTCAAAAAGGGTATAAGTGCTATCATCCTCCTCCTAAAAAATTCTCTGTCTACAAATGTCACTTTTGAAGAAAGTAAACCATTTTTTTCTCAACCTTATCTTTAGAGGAAGACTTCATTAATGGAAGATAAGGATAAAGACTTCCTTTTGCTTGACTTGTCCTCCTCTTCAACATTTTCACCCATTAATTCTTCTGAGTCTAAACCTGTTTCTTTTGAATCCAAGTCAAACACTAAATTTGAGTTTGAACCCATTCCAAACACAGAAGATGTGACAAAAGATAATATCGTTGTTGATTATATGAAGGAATTACAGGTGTACTCAAGAAGGAAAGTTCCAACTCCTGAACCGATGCAAGTCCAAGAGCTTGATCCTAACTCTGAAAATGAGGTAACTACAATCTCTTACTCTATTTCTCAAAATGAGCATGAATCTCCTAAAACTATAACTAGTGATTATAATCTACCTATTGCCATTAGGAAAGAAACCAGAAAATGTATCAAGCATCCATTATACCCAATCTCTAATTTTATGTCATTTAAAAAATTCTCACCATCCCACAAAAATTTCCTTATGAGCCTAAACACTATTTTTATTCCAACTACATTATCCGAGGCATTATCCAATGAGAAATAGAGGCAAGCCATGAAAATAGAAATGGAGGCCCTAAAGAAAAATAAGACATGGGAACTGGTAGAGTTCCCTAAAAGAAAAAAATGCAATTAGGTGTAAATGGGTTTTCACTATAAAATACAAGGTGGATGGATCGTACTACTGCAAGGTATAAGGCCAAGTTGGTGGCTAAAAGCTATACTCAAATTTATAGTGGATTATCAAGAAACTTTTACTCCAGTTGCCAAGATGAATACAATTAGGATTTTCTTATCCTTGGCTGCAAATTACAATTGGCAACTTCAACAATTTTGTGTAAAGAAGGCCTTTATACATGGTGATTTGGAAGGAGGAATATATATGTACATTCCACCAGGATTTGGAGGTCATCGAGAAGCAACCAAAGTACGCAACTTGAAAAAGGCTTTATATGGCCTTATACAATCTCCTAGGGCTTGGTCCGGGAGATTTGCCAAAGTGATGCTAGCAATAAGATATAAGCAGAGTAGAGGAGATCACGCACTGTTTATCACGCACTCGGATTCAGGGAGAGTGACAGCTCTATTAGTTTATGTTGTTGATATAATTGTAATCGGAGATGAGGAAAAAAAGAGAAAATCTCTAAAACAGTGTTTGGCTAAAGAATTTGAGATAAAAGTGCTAGGGAGATTGAAATACTTCCTAGGAATTGAAGTAGCTCACTCACGGCAAGGTACTTTCACCTCAAAACAGAAATATGTGATGGATCTTTTAAAGGAAACTAGGAAGCTCACATGTAAACCTACAAATACCCCAATGGATCCTAATCATAAACTTGAAAAAGCTAATGAAAATGATGCTATAGATAAAGAGATGTACAAGAGATTAGTTGGAAGACTCATTTATCTCTCGTATACTAGACCTAATGTAGCATATGCTGTGAATATAATAAATCAATTTATGTATAGTCCAAAAAAAGTGCACCTACAGACTGTCTACCATGTATTACACTATTTGAAGGCCAATCTTGGGAGAGATATTTTGTTCAAAAAATTTTGGGGCTGGTTCTAAAAGTGTATACAGATGCAGATTATACAAGTTCAATAACTTAAAAAAGATCCACCTCAGGCTACTGCACTTTCCTAAGTGGTAATCTTGTGACTTGGAGGAGTAAAAAACAAAATGTGGTGACAAGATCAAGTGCTAAAGCAGAGTTCAAAGCAATGGCTCAAGGAATTTGTGAATTACTATGGTTAAAGATTATCTTAGAAGACTTGAAGATCAAGTGGGATGGACCAATGAGACTCTATTGTGATAACAAGTTTGCAATAAGCATTACACACAATCCTATGCAACATGACAAAACAAAACACATTGAAGTAGACCGGCACTTCATAAAGGAGAAACTAGATAGTGGGTTGATTTATACATCGTATGCATCAACCAAAGGTCAACTTGCAAATGTGTTGACTAAAAGTCTCAACAATGCAACATTTCACGAAATTATTTCCAAGCTGAAAATAGAAAACACCTATTCACCAGTTTGAGGAAGAGTGTGGGAAAACACTTATTTACAGCTGGTTGTAATCTTGTCATCTGTATATTTATATTTGTATCTCTAGAATTAAGTATTTGTATACCTAGAATTAAGGACAGAAAATTAGGATAAACAATCCCTCAATTATAGGATCAGTTTTAGAAATATTTAGTTTCCTAGTTTATCCACCAATTAGTTGTATATAAACCTAAAGTGCTTGTATAATTCTTAAGAGCAGTCTTTTAATATACATTCAGTTTTACTCTTAGTTTTCTACACAGTTTTATTTTTTAGTTTTTCCACACCTTGGAACCCAGTCTGCACAAAGATGCCGAAGTCAACTGACTCCCTGCATCAATTTATCAGAGCCTTATATAGTTCCACAATAACAAGGAAAAATGGGTAAGAGTCAACAAGAAATAATGTTCAGTTAAGTGGTGGCATAAACCAGAATTGAGATCTCTAATGATAAGTCTAGTGTATGATTTTAACATACCATGAAGGAGAAGTTCAAATATTTTTTAAATGAAAGTACCTGAAATTGTCAATTAGAATAATTATTTCAAACGCCAACAATGGAAGAAAGACAATCTTCAAGTTTACAGCAGCAAAATTGTGAACTGCGACAAAAGAATTAATAAAGTTCATGAACATGCCCCATCAAAGAAGAATGGAAAACTGTAACAATTTAATGTTTTACTTGACCTATAACTACAGAAATTAGAATTTGACATGTTGATCATAGAAGTAAAATAACCTACCTAATGGAGATGAAAAACATTAGAACCCCAGTAATATGAAAACAAGGAAAAGAAAGTGTTGGCTCTATACCATTTACACTCTCAAGATATATACAGAGAAGCAGCTCAAAGGAAATAAGTAGTGGTGTTGCAACAATAGTATGACATGGAGCCCACTGTCAAAGCAAAAAAAACCTCAATAATTATGGCTATAAAACTTGATTATGAATTTGAAATTTCAAATCTAGAAAATTTCAATAGAGAATTTATGTTTTAGTTAGTCAAAATTTAATTAAAGCAAAATGAGGGTCACAGTTACAGACTGACATACTTGACGATTATGGGGTACTGATGGAGCAGGTAAGGAAAACCTTCCACGCGCAACAACTCCATGAAACATCCAAAGTGGGAAAAATATTGTCCTGCAATCCAAAGCCATTAAATAAAGCAACTAAAACTTAAAATCAATGCAAGGAGATGATAATAAAAACAGAAAGCCATATGCCCAGGGTCACAAGGATGTGATATTTATCAACATTTAAATTGAAAACTACACAACATAAATTTACATATTCAAGCAACTTATATTCCCCTCCCTTCAAAACAACCATAACTTGAAGAAAATGAATCTATTTCCCTCATGAAATTTTTAGCTCTTCACTGTTTAAGAGCATTTGGTAACGCAGAATAGATCCAAAACATTAAAAATAATAATAATAAAGGAAAGAAGAGAAAGATTAAAAAAAAAGAAGAAAGAAGAAAATTCAAACATTAAGCTGAAAAGGCCAAATTTATAAAAGAACATGACAACCCTCAACATTTCAGATTTTATTTGAGGAGACGGCCATCATGTAATAGTAACCAGCAATGGCAATAAAATCCAATACTACGTAAAACCTAAGGCTGTGTAGTCAAACAGTAAGACTCACTGCCTCAAGCTCTTTGAATGGAGAAGGATTCACCTAGCATCTCCAAATCCCTCCACCTCAAAGTCCTCATCATTGATGTGTACAGAGATCGTGAACTCAAACAAGCTCTCACAACTGAAACCTCCTTGGATCTGATATCCACTCCATCACAGCAAAAACTCACTAATCCATCTCATCACCACCCACATAATAACCCTGGCACCCCATATCCCTTGCTTTTCTCTATTGTCCACTCACCACAATGACACCACCTTCTTGAGCCATGAATTCACAATTACAGTAATAAGTTCCAAAAAACCCAATAATACTGACTGTCAAACCATTTCTCAACAGTTAAAATCAAACAGCTTGAATTCACAACTCACGAAGTTTAACTGATTGAATTCACATAAAATTGATACAACTAAGAATTTCTTAAAATCTATTTTTCTGCATGATAGGAAGAACAGTCACTACTCTCCTTTGCTTGGACGATTTATTAGTTGTTTGATATCCCCAAATTTCATAAAGTTCAATCTCCTTTCTGATCCGGATAGCACTTGTATGCTTTGAGCAATAGACATTCACAACCGGACCATATTAAATGCAAAACTCATTTTATTTTGAAATTTCGACAAGATCCTAACATAAGCTTCTAACCATATTTTAGGAAGCACGGAAAGCCCTTGTCTCACCTGAAGAATGAAGATTGGCTTTTAGAATCCAAGTCTGAGAATTGTCATAATACTGTAATGGCTCCAACAAAAAAAAAAAGGCAAACAGGTGCATGTCAGCCATTTTTCTTCATTACTGCTATGGTAAAATATCTGGTCATGCTATCCAATAAATACTGACAAACCAGACAGTGTAGGAAATCCCAATCTATTCTAAATACTAACAATGTGCAGCTGAATGTTACCAAGAATGTCCATAACATAATTCCTATTTTCCAATGATAATCAACTTCACTTGTGGTCTCGTCCTGTAGTATATTTTTGCCACTTCTTTTTTTTTTTCAAAAAGCAATTCTTTACTCATTCTCCAATTTCACACACAAAAAACTTAAGACAGTGAAAACGAATTTTGTACTTCGTCCATCCTTCTGGTCCACAGGCTTTACATTTCCCAAAAAGTCATAGTACAACCATCAGTACAAGTCCCTTTCCGCTAAAATAATAGACAAAATGAGCTTCAACTTAGCAAGGTCACGCAACAGAAAGTTTCCTTGGCAAATGAACCCTAATTGTGCCCGACAACAGCACTACCCAGACAAACTACCCTCAAACTGTTTTAAGTGACTTTTCTAGCATTTGTCTCCAAGTTATTGCTTTTTTTTTCAACATGAACCCTCAATTTCTTTTAACCTTTCGGTGTATTTTAAACTTTTGGCATTAATTCCATCTCTAATAACATAACAAGATCCATCAATGCACCCAATTAGAGAATGAAAAGGAAAACTCTATATTATTCAAAAATTAAATTGATTGCAAAATCATTCATTTATCAAAACTAATGTACAAATCCATCGCTTTTTAGCCACCAAAAAGAATCATTTTTGGCGACAATCCTTCCCTTTTCTACTAAACTTCTACAAGAACAAACTTTGCAAGCAAAAACATCTTCTTTCTTCAAAAAAAATAAATAAAACGGAAAGTAATTAAAGCTTCTTTTTTTTTTCAGCAACAGCAAGCGCTTCGTGAATAATCATTAAAACTTCTATTAATCCAAACAGATCCAAAAATTAGAAAAAAGAATTCTAAAACCTTCTTTGTAAGGACGAACTTTAATTTAAAAAAGAAAAAGAAAACGTTCAATTTCAGAAACAAATTCAACCAAAATCAAATTGAAACCAAAAAATGCAAAAAATCATTAATTAATTAATTAATATATAAGAGAGAGATAGAGAGAGATGAACTGACCACCAAGAGTAAGAAACGACATGATCCAGCTTAAGAAGGAGCAAAAGCGTGAAACAGAAAAGAAGGCTATGCGCTGCCAAAGCCTGGGCCGACTTCAACACTCTTCTCCAGCTCATCTTCTTCTCTTTCTTCTTCTTCAAATTTCCGAAGCGATAACTTTTAACTCATAACGCAACAGAAGAGAGGAAAGCCCTAGTTGAAAGATAAAAAGAAACAGCTATTTTATTTCAGCGGTGCGCCCAATAGCGCATTTTCAGTCATTTGTTTTCTTTCTCTCTGTCTCTTCTATAGTTTCCGATTAATGACTTAAAAACAAAAATCATTTACTCTTTAAAAAAAAAAAAATAACTCTACTTTCTCATTGAAATGTGAGATTTTAGGCTTTCCTTCGTGAAAAATTATTTTTGAAAAATTATTTTCATATTTTTAAATATTTATTTAGTAAAAAATTAATTAATTAATAAAAAATAATTTATTGATCAATAAAAAATAAATTTTTTTTTTAAATTACCTTATGAATTTGAAAAAAATATATTTTTTTTGAAAAAAATTGTCTATAAATATAATTATTTATTAATACTTTTGATCATAATTTTACTTATAAATAATATTATATTAATAAATAAATAACATTACATTAATAAATAATATTATTATATATTAATAAACTAGCTTTTTTAATCCATATAGTGCATGGGATTTTGTATTAAATTTTTCATAATTTTAAATTTATTTTTTAATTATTGATCTAATATATAATCATATATTTATAAATACGAAGTTACAATTAAATGATAATTTATACATAATATATTATAAATAATATTATTAATCTAAAAAAAATCTAAACTTTGGTAAGTTTTTAAGAATTATAAAAATTATTTTTTCAATAAAAAATATTTGCTTCAATTCATTTGCTAAATACTAAAAATTTTGTTACCATGTTTTTTCTTGTTTGGTAAAAAATTATGAATAAATATTTAAATAGTTAAGATTAATAATTATTTTTATGATAATGTTGATATATATATATATGATAATTATTTTTACTAAAAATTTTGCTACCATTTTTTTCTTGTTTGATTTATATGTATATATATATATATATATATATTTGATTAAGCAACAAATCACAATTATTAATTTAGTCATAACCATTTGCTTTTCATTAGTTCTTATTTTTAACATACTTCAAGTAATTATTACACAAATATATTAGGCTTACAATTATTTATATATATGTCAATAAAATAAAGTTATTTTTTAGATAAAAAGAAAATAATGATTCTTTATGTTATGCTTTAAAAAATTCTTTTGAAATATTTTTTTATTTTTATCATTTTTAACATAATTGATAGTATTTTTTGTAGCTTAGATATGGTGGTAATCATCATTCTTCGCATACCATCCATTGTAAACAAAGAAATCTAATAATAGAAAGTATAGTAAAAAGAAATCGAGAATATAAGTTTACATATTAATTTACCAAGATTAAAGATATACAATAATAAGAACAAATATGTTAATAAATTAACTAAAACTAAAAACATTGAAAAAATAAATAAACCAAAAAAATATATAATATGAAAAGTTAATTATAATCAATCTAAGTTATGGATTAAAGAGAAACAAATAAATTAACCAAATATATAATATAAAAATATTTGAATTAAAACTGTAAACATCCAATTTGGTCCAAGCTCGGATCAATTGGGCCTGATCTAAATGGGTAAGCCCATTTTCAGTTTTGTTTTATTTTTATTTTATTTTGTATTTTTTATTTTGTATTTTTGTATTTTATTTATTATTATTTATTTATCTATTATTACTATTTATTAATATATATATATTTTACTATTACTTATCTGTTTATATATCTATTATTTATTATTATTTATCGATTATTATTATTATTTATCTATTTACATATTATCATTTTATATTTTTTTCTTGGTTGAATCCCGATTGGGATTAGGATTAGAAAGACTGAAATTCTGACGAAAATTCGGGGCTGGCAAAGTTAATATTTGATTCAAAGATTGAATCCAAATCTCATAAGGAATTGGGATTGATCAGAAACTCTTCTAATCAATCCCTATAAATAAGTGCTGAAAGAACAGAAAGGAAGAGACAGAAAAAGGCAGACATAGAGAAAAAACAGAAGCTAAAAAAGGATTTTTGTGCTTTAGAATAGCTTTAGGATCAGTGAAAATTTTTTAGAATTTTTGGTGAATTTTTTTCTGAAAATTTCTTAAAATTTTTCATATTTCGGTTGAATTTTCAAGTGAAGTTTGATTTTTCAGTGACTTTTCTGACCAAGTTTGAATTTTTCGGTCAGCTTCTCAGTTTTCGACGACTATTTCTAGAAATCGATCAACTTTTTGATGAACTTTCGATGAAAAATCCAGATTTTGATAAAAATTTCCAAAATCCAACAAGATTCAACTGGAGTTCTTCGTCGGTTTAAAGAGAAGGAAGAGAAAAGGAAGGGAAGAGAGAGAAAAGATGAGAGATCTGCTAAAAAAATAGAAGGGATAGCCTTTTATACTCGCTAAAAACGACGTCATTTTGGTGTTACTATACCCAGAGGATCCGCGCGTTTTGAAGTCGGGCCACCCGACTTGAACGTCAACCCGCTTTCGACCCGCGTTCAACCTAAGTGTAAGTCGTTTCCGAAGCCGAGCCGTTCCAGGTTTTCTTTTTTATTTTTTATTTATTTATTATTTATTGATTAGATTAGAATTGTTTAATACTTTTTATTTTATTTTTATTTTATTTTATTTATTTTATTTTCTTGAAATAAAATTCAAAAAATATTTTTGAAGAAAAGTTGAGAGTATCAATTTTCCTTGAAAATAAGCTTTCTAAAAAATATTTTTGAGAAAAAGTTGAAAGTATCAATTTTTCTTGAAAATAAGCTTTCTAAAAAATATTTTTTGAGAAAAGTTTAAAGTATCGATTTTCCTTGAAAATAAGTTTTTCTAAAAAAAATAATTTTGAGGAAAAGTTGAAAGTATCAATTTTCCTTGAAAATAAACTTTCTAAAAAATATTTTTGGAGAAAAGTTGAAAGTATCGATTTTTCTTAAAAATAATTTTTCAAAGTTTTCAAAAGTGGATTTTTAAGAAAAGGTTGAAAGTATCAATTTTTTCTGTACAAAAGCAATCATTTTTTTTTATTTTTTAAAATTTTTTTTAATGTTAAATAATTTGACGATGGAGCCTCTGCAAGTGAAACAGTAGTTTTCTTGCATACTCTTGAGGTGAAGAGATTTTTTCAATTTTTTACTAAAAGTATTAGAGTCAATTGAGAATAATTTTTAATAATTAATTACTTAGGTAAATTTTTAAGGGTTATTAGATAACACAAAATTAAGCTGGTACCATCTTTCGATGGGCGTTGTGAGAGTGCTATAACCTTCCTCACACGTAATCGAACTCTCGAACCCTGTTCTGGTTAGTAGACCCGAACCTATTCTTTTAGGAACTCTTAAGCTTAGGTGTTCCTTAAAAGGATAGATTCTTTAGGTGACCAATCGCACCTAGATAAAAAAAAAGATTGGTGGCAACTCCTTCAAGTCAATGTCTAACGATAAATCCTTAGATCTAAACGTTATGACAGCTTGACGACTCCGCTGGGGAACTCTGAGAGTCAGGCCAGCAAATAAATTTGTGTTATCCAAAAGCCTAATAAAATTGAACCTTTTTGTATATGTGTGTTATTATTCATTCATGTTTATTTACTTTTAATTATGTCATTCATATGCATATGCATAACATGAGCTCTATACCCGAGCTCCATCGTTTTAGGAGGGAGTAAAATACCTATTGCTTTTATGATGTTTAATGCTTCCGCTGTGGCTAGCGAAAATACTCTCACTCAAATTGAACATTTTTCGCTTGTAGCCTGTAATGGGTACTAGTTTGTGATGTACAATGATGTAAAGAGCAATTTAGGAACCTTTAGACTTTAACCTTAAATCACATATAATGAACCCTAAGAGTGCCTAACCTATAGATAGAGCCATCACTCTTCCATTTTAGAATTGACCAAAAGCATAGGATTTATTTTTCTTATTCTGTGTGATGTTTTAATTTACTTAGTTATTTATTTATTTCTATTTTCTGAGCATACTAACCTTTTCTCTCATTCTTTTGCATTGGTTCATGCTCATATCATAAAGTTACATAAAGATTATTTGCTTGAAAGACGGTCTTCAACAAAAAATTTTCATGGACTCCACAAAACAACTAGTTTGTTCTTCGTCTGTATTAGCACCTTATGAGTCACCCAATAAAGTAAGGGTTCAGTCAGAAAAGATTTAACTAAAAATGGTGGATTGTTTACCAATCGGATATAATTCTACCTTGTCTTAAGAAACATCTATCCTCTTCAAATAAAATAATCTAGAGGATTTGGTTGACATATGGAAGAAGATGAGTCCGTCAAGACAAGAGAAGTTTTGCCAGAGACACGGTCATATAACGCACCTTCTTGCAATAGTTATCGACGATCAACTAATCAGAGCTACAACGTAATTCTGGGATCCTACATATAAGTGTTTCATCTTTAATTAAGTTGATATAACTCCAACCATCGAAGAATATTCGATTTTATTGGGTTTACCCCTCAAGGCTCTTGATAAGGTATATGTCAAAAAATATAAGTCAAGATTTCATAAGGGTTTAGCTCAACTCATGGGGATAGACAAAAAGGTTGTGGATTCTCATACAAATAAGAAATAAGAACAGGTTTGCTTACTTTGAAAGTTTTTTCATAAGATTTTAGTGCAACATGCCAACGAAGAACGAGGGTTAGATATATTTGCATTAGCCATACGGAATGGTGATTTTCCCAAAGGTTTTGAGTTATATTGAGATAAAAATGGTTGACTTCTTCGAGAGTGTGATCAATGACTGTAACCCTTCAATGGTAATATTAATAGAGATTATCAGATTTTTGAGTTACTGTCATCGAAATAGAGGACGCTTTATAGGCTGTATGCAGTTATTATACTTATAGATGAAAAGTCATTTCGAATAGGGAAAAGGTGCTTTCTCGAAGCTTTATATCTGTAATCAATCTCCGATCAAAGAATTCTGTGAAAGTGAGTAGTCAAAACGAAAGTCTAAAAAAAGTGGATAACTTTTCTACAAAGATTGACCAATGCTGAAGTAAGATGGTTAGCCCCATGAATGAATCGTATGCCTATGTTGTATAAATGTGGGGATAATACAATAGTCCCACTTCTGGGTTTATGAAGAGCGATAAATTATGCACCACTCCTAATGAGAAAGTAGTTTAGGACAGAATAGTTCATTCCTATGATGCATAGGCTTTATCAA